GCCGAGCCGAACTTGGTTTCATCTTCGTGCCGGACTCCTGCATGAGAGCAGTCCAAAATGCCGACATGAAGCGAGTGTCGCGGTCGCTGACTATGACTTTCGGTACACCGTGGCCACAAATCCAACCGGTGTGCAAGAGGCGTGCCAGCTCGGGAGCCGTGGAGTAGTACTTGCAAGGAAGAAAACGCGCATACTTACTCAAACGGTCCACAACCGTGTGGATGCCGTCGTGCCCGAGGCGATCGCGGGGAAATGGTCCGGTGACATCCATGGCAATGGAGAGGCCGGGTTCCCGTGGGATAGGCATCGGGCGCAACTCGCCGTAGGGGTTGCGATTGTGGGGCTTTCACAAGAGTCGCAATACCGAGTGACATCGGTAGTGAGGTTGGGCCATCGGAATCGTTGTCGAAGCCGTACAATGGTGCGGTTGACTCCGAAATGGCCAGCGAGTCGCGAGTCATGGTACTCCCCGAGAAGGCGAGTCTGAAGACGACGGTCTCATGGGACACACAATAAGTCCTTGCCTCTCGAGTGGAGGAGCAAGTACCCGTCGGCAATGCGATAGTGGCTGGCCGGCGGGTGATCCGAAGATAGTTGCGCGTACAACATGGCGAAGTCCGGATCAGACTCATATCCCCGGATGAAGTGTCGCTGAAGTTCCTCGTGGAATGCGAAGGCATGATGTGTCATAGCGCAAAGATCAGGTCTTCGCAAGACTGCATCTGCTGCGCGATTGGAGAGGCCGGGAAGATGTTTCGGTGTGAAGTCAAATTGGTCGATGAAGTACATCCATCGTCCGATCATGCTGCTCACCGTATCCTGCGTCTTGTAGTAGGTCAATGGATTGTTGTCCATGACTCATGTGAACCTACGACGCCCAAGGAGGAAGTGCCGCCATCGCTTGAGAGCCATCACGAACGCGAGCAGCTCCTTCTTCCTTGCATCATCAAGCGAGTTGATGGGAGGCACTTTGTGGCTGAAATACTCCACAGGGTGCCAGTCGTCGCCGTCGTGTTGTTCCAAGACTGCCCCAATGCCATAGCCGGAAGCGTTAGTTGTCACTCTCGTAGGCAGGGTGGGGTCATAGATGCTAAGGACGGGTGCCATGAGCATGGCCGTCTTAAGTGCTTGGAATGACCGGCGTGCGTCGTCATCGAATACGAGTGGCACCTTTGGCGATTGTAATCTCGTCATAGGTGCAACAATCCTTGAGTATCCGGTGATGAATCGCTGATAGTAGCCCGCCAACCCCATGAATGAACGAATGTCCGTGGTGTTGGTGGGCTCGGGCCATACGCGGAGGTCGTCCGTGGTGTCACATAATGTCCCAAGTACTCCAGCTCCTGCCGCGCGAATTTGCATTTGCCGCGGTTGACCTTGTACTTGGCTTGTCGTAGCCGCTCCAAAACGGTGCACAGGTGTTCCACATGCTCGTCCAAACTTCGGTTGTAGACCAGGATGTCGTCGAGGTAGATAAGTACGAATCGATCCAGCATGTGTCGGAACTCCGTTGTCATAGCCGCTTGGAAAGTGGCCGGGGCATTCGTAAGGCCAAATGGCATAACCAGCCATTCGAAATGTCCATATCGCGTTTTAAACGTGGTCTTTTAGCGGTCCTCCTTCCGAATCTCGAGTTGGTGATATCCCGACTTGAGGTCCAGCTTGGAGAAGAACTTGGCGCCGCCCAGTCGTTCGAGAAGGTCGTCGATGCGTGGGAGAGGGCCGACGTTTCTGATCGTTTGCGCGTTGAGCTTGCGATAATCGATGCACAACCGCAAATCCTTGTTCTTCTTCCGGACGAAGAGAACAGGAGCACCGTATGGCGATGAGTTAGGCCGAATCCAGCCGTTCTCCAGAAGGACGTCGAGTTGTGCCAGAAACACACTTAACTCTTCCTCGCTCATTCGGTAGATGCAACCGCGCGGAGGTACGGCCCCGTCCTCGAGGATGATCTCGTGGCGGATGGGCCGATCTGGTACTACTCCGTGCGGGCCTTCGAACACGTCGCTGTAGGCGTCGAGAAGCTCGGTGATGCGTGGGTCCAAAAATGAGTCCGTCGATGAAGCGTCATGGGGCGGGAGGGCGTGGAGAAAACACACCCCCATCTCCTCAATGTCGTCTCTGATGATGGAAGCTCGCATGCTTGCGGCGGACACCACGTGAAAACTGATTGAAGGGTGAGGAGGAGCTACCGTGCATGGGACTAGTACTCCGTTCCGATCACGAACGTGAACGGTGCGGCGGTAGAAGTTCATCGGGTGATCCTCGCTTCGCAGCCATGACATGCCCAAGATCCTGTCGAATTTGGTGTCCAAGATATCGAAGGACACCTCCTCGCTTGCATGCGGGGCAAAGTACACTGGGACGTTATCAATGCACCGGTCGATTGACTTGTGCGTGTGACCGTCTGCCAACGTGGCTTGCGTCGGCTGGGACTTCCTCCGGACGCGTGGGCCAAGGCCGGCGCGTACCATAAAGTCCTGGCTCATGTAGTTGCGAGATGCTCCGCAATCGATCAAAGCGCTGCAGGTCGCCTCTCCGATCTGAATGCGTACATATAACAATGGTGTGTCGATGTCGTCGTACCGTTGCGTCTTGAAATCGCGGTCGATCTTTGCAATGTAGGCGTTAAGGTCGACAAGCTCTACTCCGGCGTCCATCAACAGAGTTGGTACTACAGTGTGCAAGTAATCCCGCAATTGTGCCATGAGCACATTTCAATGCGGTTTCGGCAATCGACCGGACCGGGGAAAGGGCATCCATTGGAAGTCTGCAAATGTCAACGGGTCGAGCTCTTCAAGTCTTGACCATGACGTTGAATCCCCGATGGTAGATGGCGGCGAAGGTGCCGAATCGGTTGCCGATGGTGATGAAACCGTGCATGCGGTAGATTGTTGCACGTGGAGCGGTTGGTCCAACGGTGGGACCAAGTGGACAGCATAGTCCTCGTAAGTATAACGAGAGCTCACGACATTCGCATCCTCCCCAGATGTGTAGGATGCCGCTAGCAAGGCGGCCGAATCTGGCGGAGTGAGAGGTGGAGTCGTCTCACCTCCCGCGCAACTTAGTTTCCCGAGTTGATGCGAGGCCGAACATCCTCCTTGCCCTGATCCTGGCAGAGGGAGGTCTTGTGCTTGGTGCTACTACACCAATAGCAGCAGCCGTAGCGGCCGCGGTACTTGTACTCGGCCCCGGTCAAGTGAAACTTGACCCATGGTGCTGGCTGTCCGTTTTCGGTCGGCGATGCGGTTTTCGCCTTCCCATTTCCTCGGGACTTGTTGTTGCTTCGCGGCTGGACAGCAGCCACCTGATCTCCCTCACGTGACGCTTGGGTGGCTGCCGGGTCTTCCACAATGTTGTCCGATTGGACTGCAGCGAACTGTTGCGGTCGCGGACCAGTTTTTACCTTCTCCACATAGGTTGGCTGCCACGTTGACTTCTCGTGTGCAGCCGCCCTGTTGGTCTTGATGATCTCCCTCGCCTTGTCAATGATCTCAGCGAAGGTTGCATATTGCTCACGATCACCAAGTGCAAGGCTCAATGCAGCGCATGACCTGTTGTAGAACTCACGGCACAGATGCGAAAATGGTAAGTCAAGATCGGGCATTGCCGCGATCTTCTGCCATTCCGTGAGTCAGTCGCGTGTTGCTGTGTTGCCTTGCGTCATGCCGAAGAGACAATTGATGGCGAGTGTTGGTGCATCGTCCACGATGAACCGCTTCTTCCACAGTCGTGTTAACTCTTCCCATGAGATCTTGTCTTTCAGATCTGCGATGTCGACGCCGTGGGTGGCTGCTAGGTGGGTTAACCAGATCTGGCATCCGCCCTTTGAGTTAAGAAACAGGGCGCCGATGTACGCGTGCTTGGCGACTAATAGAATCCGAAGTTGCGTCGTAAAGCCTTCCCACGAGAGGATCGGGTCTTGATGCGTGTAGTCATCGAATTTCTCAATTTGAAAAGGTGGCATCTTGTAATGTTGTGTGCTATTGCCATTCTTGTTAGGCAACTGCAGTTGCTGGACCTCGGTCTTCAAGGTATCCAACCGATTGTTGATGGTGGTCGGCGCAACGAAGGTGCTGATGTCGCCGAGCATTGCGACGACGTGGTCGACGCGTTCCTCCAGTTGGCGGGCAAAGGGTGCACTGGTGGACTCGCCAGCTGCGGGTCTTGGTGCAGTCTGCTCCAAGTCCTGTACACGGGAATCAAGTGCCCGTCCTGCATTCAGCCCTGAGGCTTTTCAGCCTGAAACAGAGGGCCACTTTCGGACCCTCATAAGATCGACCGACCCTAAGACTCAGGCACAAAAACAGGGTTTCGGGAACAGGCTATTTCTGGCCTGTTCCCCACGACAGCCTCAAGCAGGAGCTGCAGCGGCAGCCCCTGACTCCCTGCGGCATTGGCAAGAGCAGCCTCCTGGACTGCCTCGCCCTGCAGTCAGGAGGCACCCGAGTAGTACATAGGAAGTTCCCATGCACTTCACGGGTAGGTAGTTGGACAGTAGGCACGAGTAGTCTTCAGGATCCGGCCGCAACACTCAGGAGGAGCGCTGCAGGGAGTAGCTTAGCGCTAGCAGTGGCATGCCAGGCCAATTGGCCAACGAGTCTATTGCCGACTACAAACAGCGGTTCCAGACTCAGCTCGCACTGATCGAGGTTGAGGAACAGCGCCAGCTGGCAGCCGAGGCTGCCCGCCTACAGGCTGAAGCAGCGGCAACAACTGAGAAGCAGCGGCTACAGGCCGAAGCTGACGCAAATGCCCAGGCATGCCGCAAGGAAGCCCAGGATCTGTTGCAGCGGCATGAAGCCGCTAGCACCGAAAGACTCGAGTATTGGCACTTTGAACCATCTGAAGGGCACGACGACACGACACCGGAGGAACAGCACAGGGAATTCATGGCCAAACTCGTGACTCGGTGCATGCCCCTCAGATGCGTGCCCTGGTGGCCCACGACCGGCCTAGGACCGCAGGTTTCGGTTTGAGGCAGCATTCAGTCATTTATTTATTTATTTGCTGAAATTGCTGTCCTATTTTGTCTGTTCAGGCGTCGTGTCGGACTTGCAGGTCTGTTCAGACGAAGGGCACGTTTTTGGCCTGGTACGGACATAGGCATGCCCTGTTGGGCCAGGTCCGTTTGCGTCCAGTAGCCGACGCCCCTGCTGCATCAGCAGGGAGGGTCTGGACGTCCGGTCAGGACACAGATGCAGTAGGCCACGTTTTGACCAAACTCCAGAGGCACACAGAGGCACACCCGCGAGGCCCAGCGCTACTAATAGTTGGGCCACGCCTGGGCAGACACAGTTCTAGTAGCTCACTTCTTGGGCGACACGCTGCTGGAGCAGCGCTACAGCGCTACGCTGGAGGTAGAGGTAGAGGTGTAGGTAGGGAGTGAGGCGGAGGCCATACCTGCACCGGCGGAGATCCTACCTGGGCGCCATAGCTGGTCTTCGCCCCAGCGCTTCTTCGGCACAGAGGATACAAGCGGTGACAGATAGTACATGGAGGCAGTTACCTGCAGGTCAGATAGCGAGGAGGACAACATCTTCTTCTTCTTCTTCTCTCGCCCTCCATCTCTCCTCCTTCCTCCCCCTTCTTCTTCTTCTTTTCCTTTTTCTTCTTCTTCTTCTTCTTCTTCTTCTTCGGGGAGAGAGAGAGAGAGAGAGAGAGAGAGAGAGAGAGAGAG